CCTCGATGAAATCGCTCGAAACGTTTTGCCAGGGCATTTTCTATTATGCGAACGATAATGGTCAGACGGAAGGCAACAGAGTGGTAGAAAATACGAATCGCACGAGCAAACACTCGCGAAACCGGAGAACCCCGAACAATAACGCAGATCGATATCAGGTATAATTGCTCAGCGCTTAACACTTGACCCCCCGTGCGCATGCACTGACGTGCTACGCATGCACGCACGTACGCACGCACGCACGCACGCATTCGAGGGGAAAGTAAAAGTAGCAGGAAATTGCATTAGAAGGGCACGCGTCGACCTCTCTCCCTCCTCCGCTTTCCCTCTTTCTCCCTAGACGTATGCTTTCGATCGTGTGTACACGTATGCACGCGTACGTGTAGTAGATGGCAGGTAGAGTTGCAAGGTCGTCTAGCGTTTCGAAGGCCTCGCACAGCCAGGGTAATGAAAAGTAATATCCACCCTTTGCAGTCATCGCCCTCTCCCCCTCCCCCTCCCCCTCCCCCCTGAAGGCTTGTACGCGAAAGAATGGCGTGCATCTGTTCACTGGCGTCGACCCTCGGAAAAATACATTCTATAATCCCTTTCGTTCCCTGTGTGAAATCACGCAAGTAGCTGGAACGAATAGCAAGAGGTAATCTGGATGTGCGCGAAGGTGAATTGCTTCGTTGACATTTTAACTTCAATCGCGTGATAAGGAGGAAGGTAAAGGGGTAGAATTCGAGGTTGTTGAATGTACGCTGTTGTTCATATTTGGAACGTTATGTGAAATATACTTCGTATAAATAATTATACACTGGTTACGTGCATGTACTAATTCAAATAGAAATGCAAATATACATACATTTGAATTCTTCATTCGCAAATCTCAAGAGAATATTTGCTATGATACTGATGCAATACATTGATTACATTTCTAGCCTAAAAGATTCTACAAATATGGAGCTTGAACGATGCAGTAAATTCAATTTAACAAAACAACAACAATCGTAAGCAAGTGAAATATTAACAGGGGAGAAACATTCTTTCGTTAAAAATATTAATGTAATAAAAACATTAGTCTTGTAATCGAATTATACCAACTATCCAAATACTTGGACGGTAGACTACGTTGAGTTTATTTTTTAAAACAAGTTGATATTCGAGAATTAATTTTATTAGTAGACAGCGGATTTTTATTCATTTATGAAACGTACAAAAATGTACGAGAGATGTTTACAATATCCAAAAATACAAGGTATATATCTGAATTCATGATATAAGCGAGGTGAAAAATGGAATTAAATGAAAATTTCTTCATGACGAAGATATCTGTGAGAAAATTTATATATAGCTGTATATAATGAACTGAAAGTTGTTCTATCTGCGAAGATAATTCGAGAATATAATACTTTTATGAGACGCTTTGCGAGACGTTTTCGGGGGAAATTAAATTTAAAAATTTATCAAGTCCACGTCTATCAAGCCAATTCTAAAATTGAAACATATTTAAACATTATTGATCATTCGTCTTTGTGCAGTGCAAAATTAGCCATAAGCATACTTCAAGCATACTTGCTAAATTTTCAAAGGCGATTTTCTTGAGAACGATGCTCTAAAAAGAATTTCATTCTTTCTCTTTGACTCAGTTTAGCGCATAGAATCGCTCCCCAGTCGGAGGGGCACCCGGCATATAAAATTCATTCTGTTTATCACGCGAAAGCTACAATGAATAGAGCAAAATAGTCTGGATATACGCGGAGTAAATTGCTTCGTTGACATTTTAACTTGAATCGTGCTGTAAAGAGGAAAGTAAAGTGATACGAAACATGAAGTTTTATTATTGAATATATGTTTGAATTTATTCTTGAAAATAAAAATTGAATAAGAATTTACGACGTGGCTTTTCGAAAATTAATTTTTCGTGTGAAACTGAAAGTTGCGAAAATATAGAAAATGCAGTAATATAAAACTATATACAATATCTTACTTAATAAAGTATTCGTCGTAATTAGACGGAGGATTTTTATAATGCATTTGTAGGAAGCTTTTAAATGCGAAATTACAATTAAAGTTATAATTTTTGACATACAGACGAGTCTCTGTTTAAACTCCATTTTTCTAATTACATTCATGAAAATACAGAATTTGCATAGTAAAATCCTTAGTTTAAATCCAGAATTTTTTTCAAATCGTGGAGTTAGATTAACGATGTAGAACGCTGTCAATTTGCAACATTTTATCGCAAGTTATCAATTGCCAGATGAAATTCTTCATTAATGATTAAATTAATAAAATTAAATAAAGAAGGAAATTATTGTGCATAAGAACTCATATGCGGAAATTTCATAGAGCGAACTAAATTCAAAGTTTCTCTAGTGGAATAGTAGAATTTCATTTGAAATCATGTCAGTCCGATTCACATGTTTCCCCCGCGAATGATTTTTACAACAAGAAGTACACGCTGATCGGCGATGAAATAAAGATCTCCTTCCAACAGTTAACGAACGTATCGTTAACT